TTTGGTTGGTTGAGGGCACAAGTATATGATGATGAGATGACGAAATGAGTTTCATGAGCTGGAATTGAAGCTATTGGGGACAAACTTCTGAACTCTTTCGACGAACCCCCGACTTTTGAGCAACCAAAAATGACTATTGAGAAGCTCCTTGAGTATGGTAACATGCTCAAGAACAAGAGAATGTGAAGAGAATTCAGTTGGCAGACATGCATCTTAAAGAGGCAACACTTGGAGATGCATATGCTGATAGCATTAACACTGAAAACTTATAATGTCATCAATCTAAAGTCTAAACAAGAGGTTTGGATTTCCTATTTCAAAAGCTTTGATTAATAATAAGTTTGATAATTAGAAAAGAATTTTGAAAATTTTTCAATACTGTATGGATGCAGGGAAGAAAGGACAGGAGTCTAATTGTCCTGTTGCTGAAGTTTCTATTGATTCAAGTACTAAAAAACTTGATTCAACTTTCAAGAGTGATGATAAAACTTATATCTTCAGTTCTTTGAGATATTTTATGAGGGTAGCTATAGAATGTGACTATACCTTTGTAATATATGAAATCAGTTGCATTCCATTCATAACCGAGTACAAACTCCAAATAATCTTTTGTTTTAGTTAGTATAGAAAGGATAACAATGTATAANGGGTGAATTGTTTATTTTTATATTTTAATAGCTACTAGTTGACTAGTTTTCTAATTAGTCGACTGAATGTAATAACCAGAAAATAAGAAGAGCATAAATTAAGATGCAAAAATAAAGTGCAGGAATTAAAGACACCGAAATTTTTATACTGGTTCGGATTCAATTTGAATCCTAGTCCAGTCCCCTTGGGTTGCAAGGGAGTTCTCTTTCAGTGAATGAGTTTCTGGAGTACAATCGTGAATGATGTGGTTTACACCAATAGCTCAGTTTCTATGTCACTCGTTTCTTTTTGATACAATGCCTCACCAGTATTTTTCTCTCTTTCTTTTCTAACTTGTTACATAACAGATCTAATAGAGCTACAATGTTTGTTTGCAGTAGAACAAATAGAGGGTATTTGGTTTGATCAAAGTATATTTTTCTAAGGCTTAAGGATTTGTATAAATACTTTGTAAGAGGCCGTTGCTGAAGAGATTTGCCAACCCAAGAGATTTGATCCTTGGAAAGAGATTTATTCTTTCCAAGAATAAGGTTATTTGACATTGCTCTTCCTTGATGAAAGGACTTTAATAGCTTTCCTTCTACAGGTCTTGATAGCGCCGAATTTACTCCTTGATTTTTGGTCCTTCCAGTAATAGCAACTTGATTGATCATCTTGCAAGATCTTCGATACTTCTTTTCTGCTTCAATCAATTTTGGATTGATTTTCTTGTCTTTGATTGATTCCTTCAATCTTGGATGATTTCCTTGAGTTCCTTTAATTGATTCCTCCAATCTTGGATGCTTTCCTTGAGTCCCTATACCAAGAGCAATTATATTATTTTCATCATTAAAATAAAAACCTAACAATCTCCCCATTTTTGATGATGACAAAATTATATATGTAAACATCAGTTGACTTCCCTGTATTTTACTCCCCCTCAATGAGTGCAGTTGACTTTTCTGTTGAGACTACTTCCTTTAGTCGACTTCTTTTGCAGGATCTATGACTCCCCCTCAAGAGGTGCCGCGTGTACCTCTAGTCGACTTCCCTGCATGTACATATATGTCTATATATATATCCTTCTCCCCTTTTTGGCATCATCATAACAGCAGATAACAACATATTATATACTAAAACAGGATTTATAGCATGATATGCTTGTAGAGTTATGGCAAAACAAAATAAAATATCATCCAATGACTGGTTATCCAGTCCAAAACAACACATCAAAAAATATTATCTAAAACTTCCACATTAACGACGTAAGAAATAGGTAAGAGTGTTGCAAATCGCCTCCTTCGGTTGATCAAAGCTGGCACTGGCTGAGACAGTCACTCCATCAAGCCTGTCGTGTACCTCCTTGAATGTCTTGACTGCGTTTTCCCTAACTCTGAGAACTGCAACTCTTATCTTTGACACATTAGACCCTGTTTCTTTAGAGATTGCATGCATGTCTCCAATTGTGGTATGGGTAGCAGCAAGAAGATCTTTGATGGTGGACAACTGATTGTCAATGGCAGCAAGTTTCTCAGCAAGGTCAGGGTCAATAGGACTATGATGGGAAACAGAGGGTTTGGATTTTGATTCAGGTTGAACAAGTTTGACCTCACCTTCTTGCTTCTTAATCCATAAGCTATTCACACACACATACCCCATACTCACAAACGCTCTGGAATTATAAGATTTTGAAACAAAGATGAAGGGATATTCAGAGATGGATATATTATGAGCTTCTAGAATGTGAGTGATGGCCATGCCATAGGGCAGACTGGTGGGATCATTAGCATGTTCAATCATAAAATTGATGACCCAGGAGGATAGTTTGATCTTGAGTTTTGTCATAAGGCAATAGACAAGAAAAGTATCTCTTTGAGAGAAGGTTGAGAAAGAACCAGTACGAGGAAGCAGAGTAGTTGCAACAATGTGGGCTAGAATATGAGTTTCAAAACTAACATCACTTGGACCTAACTGGTTTGGGAGAGATTTAGATGGACACTCAACAATACACCATTTTGATTGATCAAAAGAGATTTCAAAATCATCACGCAAGGAATTTTTAAAAAGCATGGGAAAACCAGAATACTTACACTGGAAAATTGAGTCAAACATGGCACAATCAAGAACAATGCGCTTCCCTAACACTAAGGATTCTAACTTGTCAGACTTACTAGAGCGAATATTTGCATAAAACATTTTCACTAGGGGTTCATAAACTTTATGAGGGGTAACATAAAAGAATTTTAACCAGCCTTGATAGACGAACAGATTTTTTACCTTACAATTTAGGGCTTCCATGTCATCAAGGTTGACTACCCTCCCATGAGCAATTGGCTCGTCCTTCAAAGCGATGAAAAAATCCTTGTTTGGAGAATCTCAGAAATTTAGGTCAGACTCTAAAGAGCTGGAGAGATCTATTTTCGACTTCTTTGGAGTAAAGGATTCAGGGGGTTCTTCCATAGGTCTTTTTTCCAAGGCTTTTTCTCCTAAAATATGAGAATGATCTGAGAGGTCCGCCTGAGAGGAGGCAAAACCTTCTGAATGGTCGGACCTTAGGTCTACTTATTCTGGAGGCTGAGAAGGGTTTTTTGCTCTTAAGCGAGTACTCTTCCTGGTAGAGGCAGAGGGAATTTTGGAGTGTTTGGCCATGGAAAAACTTTGGTTGAGGAAAGTTTTTGGAGAGAGTTTATAGACGATAGAGACGATAGAGATTAAAAAGGGGTTTCAGGTATTAAAAGAAGGGTTTCTGACGGTTGAGTACAGAAAAGGAAGGGGTGTCAGTGATCAGACATGATGATTGGTTTTCCTTCTTTGAACTCTGCAATTGATGTGAAAAGAGAGGAAAAGAGAGGGAATTCGGAGGCGCAATTAATGATTAAAAAATGAGCATTAGCCATATAGTAACACATAGGTCCTAATATTAATGATTAATGCAAATAATACCAAGTAATTCTCTTAAAAAGCAGAATCTATCTTCTAGTAAAGGCTTAGTAAAAATATCCGCTAATTGATCAGTAGTTCCAACAAAAGATAGTTCTATATTTCCCTTAAGGACACGATCTCTAATAAAATGATGCTTGATGTCTATATGTATTGCCCTAGAATGATGCACAAGATTTTTTGAGAGATATATAGCACTAGATTTATCACAGAAAATTGGTATAGGTTTAAAGAATAATTCATAGTCACCCAATTGATGAGACATCCATAGTAATTGTGCACAACATTTTCCAATGGCGATATACTCAGCCTCAGTTGTGGATAATGCGACTGATCCTTACTTTTTATTGTTCCAAGATATCAGTGCCTTTCCAAGTAGTTGGCATGTTCCACTGGTACTTTTTCTATCTTCCTTATCACCTGCAAGATCAGCATCTAAAAACCCTTCTAGTTTAAAATTGTTAGAGCGTGGATACCACAATCCATGAGAGACAGTTCCAATAAGATATCAAATAATTCTCTTTACTGCTATCAGATGTGATTCTTTAGGAGCTGACTGAAACCTGGCACATTTACAGATACTAAACATAATATCCGGTCGACTAGCAGTTAGATAAACAAGTGAGCCAATCATTCCATGATACTTAGTTTCATCAATAGGATTTCCTTGTTCATCTTTGTCAAGACTGGTTGAAGGACTCATTGGTTTTCTAATAGCTTTGGCATTGCTCATACCGAACTTTTGAATCAACTCCTTTGTATATTTTATCTAACATATGAACGTTCCTTCTTCAGATTTTTGAATTTGAAGTCCAAGAAAGAACGTTAGCTCCCCCATCATACTCATTTCAAACTCGCTTTGCATAAGATTTGAAAATTCCTTGCACAAAAGAGGATTAGCACTACCAAAAATAATATCATCAACGTAAACTTGAATAATGAGATTACCTTCTGATGATCTTTTAATAAATAGGGTAGTATCTACTTTACCTCTTGTAAATCCGTGATCAATAAGAAATGAGCTAAGTCTTTCGTACCATGCTCGTGGAGCTTGTTTTAGTCCATACAGCACTTTGGTCAGTTTGTACACATGGTAGGGAAACTTTGAATCTTCAAATCCAGGAGGTTGTTTCACGTATACCTCCTCTTTAATGAAACCATTCAAAAAAGGCACTTTTAACATCCATCTGGAACAACCTGAATCTTTTAAAGGATGCATATGCAAGAAGAATTCATATAGATTCCAGTCGAGCTACTGGAGCGAAGGTTTCATCATAGTCGACTCCTTCTTGTTGAGAGTATCCTTGAGCAACTAATCTGGCTTTGTTTCTCACAACTTTTCCATCCTCATTCAGCTTATTTCTGAAGACCCATTTTGTTCCAATTACGGGAGCATTTTTAGGCTTGGGCATCAGTTTCCATACTTGATTTTTTTAGAATTGATCTAGATCTTCCTGCATTGCTTGCATCCAGCTTGAGTCTTTCAAAGCTTCCTCTATTTTCTTTGGCTCAATCTGGGAAATCAGTGTTGTGTTAGCTTTCTTCTTGAGAGCTCCCCTGGTTTTTATTCCTTCGCTTTGATCCCCTATGATGAACTTTTGAGGATATTCCAGTTCACTTCTCCATTCATTTGGACTAACTGTATGAGTAGTTGACTCCTCTGGAGGTTCTGATTGACTGTTGCTAATCTCATTAGTTGACTCTACCACACTGTTAAGTTTATTAGTCGACTCTTGAGAGTTGCTTGTTTCCTGAATTACTTGTGTTTGATTTTCATCACCTGCAGTAATTCCTTTCTCGGCCGAAGTGTTATTCTCATCAAAGATAACATGTACTGACTCTTCTACACACAATGTATGTTTATTATAGACTCTAAAAGATCTACTATTCAATGAATAACCCAGAAAAATACCTTCGTCACTTCTTGAATCGAATTTTCCAAGATTGTCCTTACTATTATTATGAATGAAATAGTTGCTTCCAAAAGGATGAAAGTAACTTATATTGGGTCGTTTACCTTTCCACAGTTCATAGGGAGTCTTCCTCAGGATGGGTCTTATGAGACATCGATTGAGGATGTGACAAGCTGTACTTACCCCTTCTGCCCAGAAGTGATTTGGCAGTGAATATTCTAGTATCATAGTTCTTGCCATATCCTGTAAAGTCCTGTTTTTCCTTTCAACAACTCCATTCTATTAGGGTGACCTTGGAGCAGAGAAGTTGTGAGTGTATCCTTGATCGTTGCAGAAATCTTCAAATGCTCTGCTTTCAAATTCTCCTCTGTGATCACTTTGAATAGTTGTAATAAGATATCCCTTTTCTCTTTCGACCTTTTTACAGAAGATCTAGAAATTTTTCAAAGCTTCATCTTTGTGAGATATAAAAATCACCCAAGTAAAACATGAGTAATCATCAACAATAACAAATGCATATCATTTTCCTCCTATGCTAGATGTTCTAGTAGGTCCAAATAAGTCCATATGAAGCAATTACAAGGGTTTTGAAGTGGATACAACATCTTTGTTTTTAAAAGAATTTCTAGTTTGTTTACCAATCTAACATGCATCACATACATGATTTCTAAAAAAGTTGAGTTTGTGTAAACCAATAACTAAATCATGCTTGGAAAGTTTTTCTATCAAATGCATGCTTGCATGACCAAGTTTCTTATGCCATAATCATGGATCATCGGATATGGACGTTAAGCAAATATGACCATCTATATTTTCAAGACCATCAAGAATATAGACATTTCCATACCTTTTACCTGGGAGGATTACTTTACCTATCTCATCTTCAATAGCATATCCTGTTTTCTTGAACTTTACTTCATACCCTGAGTCGCATAACTGACTTATACTCAGAAGGTTGTAGTTAAGTCCGTCAACAAGATAAACTTCAGTGACATCACAGTTATTATTAAAAGGAACTATTCCGGTACCGACTATATTTCCTTTTGAGTCATCACCAAATTTGACATTTCATCCATCTATTTTTGTAACTTCTTTAAACAGGTTTTTGTCACCTCTCATGTGACTGGAACACGCACTATCCAAATACCATTTTCCTTTGTGACTCCTTCTGTGGTGTTCCTCGCTTGTTTCACCTCGTGCCATGAAACAATTGTCGTTGTCATCTTTGCAATCATCATCTGAGATGTCCTCGTCTGTCCAGCACCCTGAGAGCTTGTTCATGTTAATTTCCAAAATTGTCATGAAGCACAGATTTGCTATCTCTTCATGTTCAGAACTGTCTTCATCACTCCAGCTTCCAAATGATTTGTTTTTGTTAAACCCTCTAGAGACCTTTCTTTTAAGCTCATNAGACCTTTCTTTTAAGCTCAGGACATTCAGCTTGAACATGCCCAAATCTTCCACATTCATAGCATTTGCCATCATTTTTGTCTTGTTCATTGTATTGCCTAGTTCGCCTGGGTGGTATTCTGCCTCTTTTTGTATTCCTGTATCTCCTCATTAAACCATCCATGTTCCTTGATACCATGGCAATTTCTTCTTGAAGATATTCAGGGTCGTCATCAATATCATTGTCTGTTCTTTCAGTTGTAGCCTTGAAAGCAACTGTCTTCTTCTTCTCTTCTTGATTTGTTTTCTTGAGATGAGTTTTCTCGAAAGCTATAAGTTCTCCTCGAAGTTCATCATATGATAATTTATTAAAATCCTGTGACTCAAGAGTAACTACCTTTGTCTGCCAAGTAGTGGGCAGACTTCTCAGAATTTTCCTAACTTGATCACCACTTGAGTAGAGTTTGCCAAAAGCTTTTAGATAATTGATGATTTTGCTAAATATGGCAAACATTTCTTCAATAGATTCTCCTTCTTTCATCTGGAAAAGTTCGTAGTCATGAACCAAGATTTTGATATGGGTTTCTTTCACTTTACTTGTTCCTTCATAAGTGACTTCAAGTTTATCCCACATCTCTTTAGCTGTATCACAACTAGATATTTTCTCATATTCCTCACCACTTATAGCATTATAAAGCAGATTCCTTGCTTTAGTATTAACTTGCACAACCGCCATTTGTTCATCAATATATTCATCTATATCTTCAGGATCAGCGGCTGGTTGAGCAGCAGCCGGTAATGGGTAATTCCCCTTTTTGATAACTCTCCAAATTTTGACATCATAATATTTTGCAGATATTTCCATACGCACTTTCCAGTGAGAGAAATGTTGTCCATTAAAGTATGGTGGCCTCACTTGCGATGTTCCTTCCAGAAAGAGTGCTCCGACAATAACTTGATTTGCCATGATCTTTTCTCACAAGCTGTTAAGCAAAAGAAAAAGTGTGAGCCTTGCTCTGATACCAATTGAAAGTACAAGAAGGGGGGGGGGAGGGTGAATTGTTTATATTTATATTTTAATAGCTACTAGTTGACTAGTTTTCTAATTAGTCAACTAGATGTAATAACCAGATAATAAGAAGAACAAAAATTAAGATGCAGAAATAAAGTGCATGAATTAAAGACACCGAAATTTTTATACTAGTTCGGATTCAATGTGAATCCTAGTCCAGTCCCATTGGGTTGCAAGGGAGTTCTCTTTCAGTGAATGAGTTTATGGAGTACAATCGTGAATGGCGTGGTTTACACCAATAGCTCAGTTTCTATGTCACTCATTTATTTTTGATACAATGCCTCACAAGAATTTTTCTCTCTTTCTTCTCTAACTTGTTACACAACAGATCTAATAGAGCTACAATGTTTGTTTGCAGTAGAACAAAGAGAGGGTATTTGGTTCGATCAAAGTATATTTTTTAAGGCTTAAGAATGTGTATAAATACTTTGTAAGAGGCCGTTGCTGAAGAGATTTGCCAACCCAAGAGATTTGATCCTTGGAAAGAGATTTATTCTTTTCAAGAATAAGGTTATTTGCCGTTGCTCTTCCTTGATGAAGGGACTTTAATAGCTTTCCTTCTACAGGTCTTGATAGCGCCGGATTTACTCCTTGATTTTTGGTCCTTCTAGTAATAGCAACTTGATTGATCATCTTGAAAAATCTTCGGTACTTGTTTTCCGCTTCAATCAATCTCGGATTGATTTCCTTGTCTTTGATTGATTACTTTAATCTTGGATGCTTTCCTTGAGTTCCTTTAATTGATTCCTCTAATCTTGGATGGTTTCCTTGAGTCCCTATACCAAGAGCAATTATATTATTTTCATCATTAAAACTAAAACCTAACAGACTGTGCGGTGGGTGCAGGAGTAGAAGCCACGTAGGTATATTAAATTACAGATGTATATGAAATTATTAAAATACCCTCAATGTATTTTAATTCAACTAAGCACATATATCGAAACCTCAACTTTTATAATCTATATTATTATAAAAGTATGAATACAATGTTGGTTTACAAAAATAACCTTATAATATTGAGCATAATAAATCATAATAAAATGACATAACCGTAATTCTAGATATTAGCCTTAGAATCATATTAGTTTTAGAACATAATACTATACGTTAGGAATATTACATGATTACCTTTAAGAATCATATTTGTATAATTGCATTCTGGTTGTTTAATTCATATAAAATTGAACAAGTAAATATCTTTAGTCATGTAATCCTATTACTTTTAGGATATACTTCTTAAAAATTCCTATCACTAATTTAATTTGAAAACGTATTATAATGTCCTATTACTAATTTAATTTGAGAATGTATTATATTGTCCAAATCCATTTAGAAAAGGGAGAGCCTATATTATTATAAAAGCATAAATACAATATTAATATACCAAAATAGCCCTAAAATACTAAACGAAAGAACTCATAGGGAAAGGGCATAACTGCAATAACTTTTTTTTGGACTACAATACCTTCTATACTAATTTTTAATATTTAATATTTTAAAATTAATAAAAAAATTCCTATTAAATTATTATTAAAAATATGTAGGAATGTTTAATAAAATCAATTTCATCAGAATCCTCCGCATTGGCAATACATTACCACTCCATAATATCCAATACAAAAAAAAAAGTAATATTAAATGGACTACATAATGAGTTGACATTGAGGAAAAAAACTATCACCACGATAATATATTTTTATATTATATTTGAACTTTTTTCCTACTCAAATAATATTTTTTTAATCAATTTTTCATGTAATATTAAAAGATACCCAATTATTAAACAACAACTAAGAAAGTATTTAAGAATATAAATGTGTAAGAAAGAGGAGAAAAAATGATTGGCAAGAGTCAATACCACTAATGATTCTACAGACATAAAGATCTAAAAGTGAAATGTCATATCAATCTTTTACTCTTTAAAAATAAAATTTATGGTGGATAAAATTATAATTAAGATTAAATATTCAAAAACAAGAGATGAACTAATATTAAGATATGAATCAACATAGAATAAATTATTTTTTATATTAAAATCAAATAATTAAATCTTTTAATTAATTATTTAGCAAGAGAATCCAATTCAATTATTTTTAAAATTCATCACATGAGTAAAATTCTTATTCAAGTTAAAATAAATCTTAAGGTACATAAACTTATTCCATAAAAAGAGCATTAGAATATAAAGTAAAAAGGTTAATATATCATTAAGAATCAAAATGTTATACAAGTGTATGAGGAAGCACAATTAAAGCTAAATCCTAAACAAGAACAAGCTTTCAAGACTATATTATAAAGAGTCAACTCTGCTATAACTGAATTATTCTTTGTAGATGCCTCGGCGAAATTGAAATAATATTTCTAAACCGTTCCCAAAGTTATTTATCAAAACAGACCCTTTATTACTACTCCAAAAAGTCCAACTGCTGAAACAGTTGATCAATTAACTGTAATCAGAGCCGATGACTTTGAAATAAATTGAAAAAGTCTAGATGCTGAGTGGTTACATCCCAACAATACTATCAATCGAAATTGGTATGTAGATACTTATTCTTTAGAACAAAGATTATCTTTCAAAGATAAATGGATTAAAGACTTAAAAAGAATCAAATGTGATATTGAATTCTTTAAATGGTTTGAAATAACTGGATAGATTCCAAATCAAAAGTAGTCTTTAAAAATGATTGTTAATAAATGGTATACCAAAAATAAAGGTATAATAGAAGACGTTAATCCACCCTTAGAAGAAATTCTAATACCAGTCCAAAGCGAAGTAATCACAGCTTCCCCTTTTAAAAGAGAAAGTGTTCATACTGATAATGGACCAACCAACAAAGACATTAATAAAATTATTGTGCAAAATAATTACACAAATAATTTATTACATGTAGTTTCTAATCAGTTAAAGGATACTAATAAATTAGGAATCCCTACAAGGTCTATAACAACTTCTAAAATTGAAACGCATCCATTAATAAAACTTCCTGAATATTCTAAAGAGGAGTTTCCTGAATTAGAAGAAAAATTCGATTTTTCAGATAAACTTCTAGAACAAATCGAAGAAAGACTTAAAATAAAATTAGTAATCTCTAAACCAGAATCTACCTTAAATCAAGCTAGTACTAGCATTAATAATAAATCCATAGAACTTCAAAATTTAATTAAAAGATTAAGTTCTATCGAAAAGGATTATACTGATTTAAGAACAAAAGAAGATTTCCCTGGGAAAAAGGAAAAACTCGAGTTTCTAATACAATGCTCCAGAAAAACCTCTGAAGAAATTAGTAAAATTGAAACAGTCTCTACAATCAAATCCATTGATTCTGAAATCAACAGAATTACTAACGATCCAAGGCATTCTAATAAAAAGAATTACTATGGAAGGGCTTCATTCCCAGATGTACAATTTGAAGAAGATATCTATTTAACTAGTTCTAGTCACGAAGGAACTGGTATCACAGAATGGAACATAGACGGATTGGCTGAAAGCCAAATCTACAAAAAACTTCATGAAATCGGTATTGCAGTAACTGCCTATAAAATGAAAAGAGCTTCAGACAAATATGCCGCAACTTTAATAGTTTCAGGTTTCACTGGAATGTTAAAAAATTGGTGGGATAATTATCTTACAGAAATAAATAGAAATCAAATCCTAGGAGCTACTACAATAGCAACCATAATAAAAACTGAATCAGGAATACAAGTTGCAGAGCAAGAAGGTAGAGAAGATGCTTCTGCAACTTTAATCTACTGTATTGCTAAACACTTCATCGGAGAATCAAAACTTTTCTAAGATAGGAGTTTAGAACTTCTTAACAATCTTAACAGTCCAAAATTAACAGATTTTAGATGGTATAAAGATATGTTTATAGAAAAAGTTATGATTAGAGAAGACTGCGGTAGTGCTTTTTGGAAAGAAAGATTTATCAGTGGTTTACCAAGATTATTTGCCGAAAAGGTAAGAACTAAAATCAAAGATAGATTTAACGGTCAAATCCCTTATGACAATCTTACATATGGGGATTTAATCAGTTTTATTAATGTAACAGGCCTTGACTTATGTACAGACCTAAAACTTAAAAGTCTTATTAAAAAAGACAGACTTCAATCCAAAATAGAATTAGGAAGTTTCTGTCAAGATTTCGGTTTCAAAACTATTGCTGCTCCATCTAAAAGAGCAAAACAACATAAGAAATCTTCTGAAAAAAATAAAAAGACGCCATAAGCGTAAAGAAAAAAAGGAAGGAACTCCTAAGAAAAGAAGATTTAAAAGACGTTCTAAAAAGGAACATGGTGATAAATGTTGGTCATGTGGTAAGACAGGGCATAGAGCTAATGAATGCCCAGTCACCAACAAGAAAAAGAAGAAGGTTAATACCTTAGAACTTGATGAAAACATTAAAGAAAAGCTATTTGCTATTCTTGAACAAAATGAAAACAGCACGTCATCGTCGTCATCAGATGAAAGCTATTCTGACAGCGACAATGAAATGATAAACATGGCATATAGCTCAGACAGTAGCAGTAGCTCTCAAGAAGACAACTGTAACTGCACTGGTGCAATATGTGTGTGCAGACAAAATTCTATTAAAGTCCTTACTAATGACTCTAAAGAAGTATTATTTGATATTATCAATCACATAGATGATGAAGATATTAAAACAAAATACTTAAAAGAATTAAAAAATATCATTATTAATCAAAAAGGAAATCATCATAAAATAGAACCCTTTAATATGAAAGAGGTTATGAATAGATTTTCAGTCAAAGACGATAAACCAACTATTCAACATCTCCAAACAGAATTAAAATCTGTAAAAGATGAAATAAAAATGGTTAAGCTTAGACTTGACAAAATAGAAATGGAAAATCTTACAAATGAAGTATTACAAGCA